GTATATATGTATATTGTAATGTATATTGTATATAGATTAAAAATTCGGGTTAAGAAACAAGATAATGTTTTAATTTTAATATGTTTTTATGAAAATATTTTTATTTTTCATGTATGATGTCTGTTTCGTTTACTGAGCTGTTTGATGAAACTAAAATTAAAATTAAAACTAAAATTTGTTTCATTTTCAAACATTAATAAGAACTCATAAACCGTCCTTTTATTCAGGGTTACAGTTGTTCAAGAGAATTCAAGAATGAAAGATATTCTTTTCAATATTGCTCAGGAATAGTTCATCAGTTCAGATTTATATTTTAACAAAAAACATTTTGAGTTATAGCAACGTTATAGCAACAAAAATAAATAATTTTTTTATGTCTAAAAATTTATTTTTGAAACTGAGAAATATCTAGAAAAATGATCTGGTTGACAGATTGGAATTTGTATCAGATCTTGAGGCAAACTTGATTAAATATTAACATTTCTACTGTAGGCGGTCTGGGTTGCTAAAATTGGGGTTTCTTGCATATCTCATTCTCGTATATTCATAACGATCAATAAGTTAATTAATTACAATCAGACAATTGAAGATAAGGACTGTTACTCTAAAATTGTGGAATGATATTAATTTAATAAAACCCCTGCTTGCGATTTAAAAGCTCCGGCTAGGGTGTTAATTCATTAAACCCAAGATTGTGGCAAATTTTAGTATTAGCTACGACCGCGTGTGGCGACAGCGGCCAGCTTTTAGACTCTACTTTATAGAGTTTGGCCCGAGCAAAATAAAACCGGCCTTGGTTGGTTTAAGTGAAGAATTAGTCTGAATGTTCAGTCTTATTCTAATCAAATCACGAAATCCGCTAATTCCAACCTTGAAAAAACTCCAAGTACATATTAAACCGCGGTTAAATAAGCCCAACTATGTTGAAAATTAGATTCCAAAGCTCGAGTCTTTAATTAGTCTCAATGACAGCTTAGACTTGAGCCTTTTTTCCCCTGATTTTTAAAATCACAGGCTCTGAACTCGTGTTTCTATTAATGAAGTTTTGAAGGAAGTATCTGGAGAATATGATCTTGTTGTAGCGGATCCATTCTACTCAGTTTCTGTTCTACCCTGGCATAATCTACTCTTCTGGTTCCAGACAAACTTTCTTAAAGACAAGGGCATAGTGACAGGTAGGGTTGCTTATTTTAAAGAGACTATTCACGTAATTTAATGTGACCCTCGCCTATTTTACGAGTTACATGACAAATTCACAACATAACTCTTTAATCCTTACCTTGGCGGCAATCAGGAAAATATCGTCGTTTTTCTATAGTGATATCCAGAAAACTTTGAAATATGAAGATGACTTTTAGACTGAAGATATGACTTTAATTGGTCCAATAATCAAGGTATGCAGCAATTGTACAGTTTAAACAGACTCATTCCACTTAATTAGTGATTTAATAACTTTCTAGTAAGGCTATTTTCTTATTAACACCATCAAATACACTTTAGTATTGCTATACAGTCGTATTATTTCAGAGTTTTCTGGTTATCACTGTATCTTTATAAGTGATGAATAATTGAATATTGACAAAAATTCTTTCTTGTCTATGTTTGTATAACTCCGAGATTCACTAGATTTAGAAACAGCCAACACATGGATCTGCAACAATTTTTGCATGAAAATAAGCTAAAAAAATGAGAAATTTTGAAAATTAATCATTTCTTTTAAAAATTAGTAAATCTCAAAGAAATATTCACGAACTGGATCTGGATCCATTTTTTTCAGGTCGGATCCAGGATCCGGATCCACATCAAAATAAAATGGATCCTAAGCAGTGCACTCATATATTTATTGTATTCTAGACTCTACGTGTATATTACCGGGAGCTTTTAAACTTTGGGTTCTTCCTGTTCATTACCAACATGTTTGGAAAATAAGAGCTCCTCTATACAATATTCAAGGAAGGAACAGTTCACGTTATTTTATTTAGTTTTTCTTTATTTCTATTTTTTATGGTTGGTGTTTTAAATCAAAAATTTAAATGTTCCTTAATGCAGGGTTCGATATGAAACATTTTGATAAGATTATAGAAAAGGTGATTATTGGTTTTCTACTATTTCATTATTAACTTTTTATCATTATTAGCATCAAAAGCATTATTTTATTTAGCAGTAATTTCAATAATTGCCATCTTATTTTAATTATTAAATATATGAGTATTTAAGAAAAACTCTCCGCCCCCTGGGAAATAATTTTCGATTCTCTTGAAAATAAAATGAAAATTGGAAGTAAAAATAGTTAAATAAATAAAAATAAAAAAATTTAATAGTTAAAATAAAAAATGAAAATTTTTAAAATAAAAAATTGGAAAAAAGGGTTGAAATTTGCCTTTTGCAAGTTTTCTACCTTTTTTTAGTTAAATTTATCGATTCTACTCAATTCAGTGAATAATGATAATAATAATAAAAATATCAATAAAACCGTTAAAAGAAATTTCTAGCATCTGGAATGGGGACGGCATAATATTCATTAGTGGGGTGAAATAATCATTCAAGATAGTATATACCCCTAATTGAAATTGATTTTTTATCCATATAAAACCTTTATTATTAGTATTATAATTGATGTTATTTATTTAGGCTTGTGAGAACTGTGATAATAATGTGGAACCTCAACCCCTCTGGGAATATACTTCATTTAAACCTTTATTATTAGTATTATAATTAATGTTATTTATTTAGGCTTGTGAGAACTGTGATAATAATGTAGAACCTCAACCCCTCTGGGAATATACTTCAATAGCTTTGGGTCATCCTTTGCAGGTCAGTTCACAGTCTACCACTCAATATACAGTGTGAACCATAAATCTATGGAATAGGAAGATGATATTGAAGGAACCGTGTATTTGATGTTATTACAAGGCAAATAATTCTAAAAGTAACGTAAACATTGTTTGTTAAAGGGACTCTCCATGCATAAATGGCAAAGCCCTATTTACAACTGTACAGTTGAAACCTTATTCTGATCAAAAAATGTGTCCAAAAGTGTTAATTTCTGTGTAATAAAAATATTGATATCTAATTCATACTTGATCCGACAAGTTTTTAAGGATACCGTTGTAAATCGGGCATTGCCATCTTTGCATGGAGGGTCACTTGAAATTGCACTTACAGTCCCTTTAAGTGAAATGCTTTGTGCACATCGCACAGTTGATGTGCTTTATGTTCATTGTACTATTTAAAATCATAACTTGAGTCTAAAAGTCGACGTTCTAATCCCTAATATAAATAATGTGCGTAGTTAACCATTTTAATTATCAAATTTTATCAAGGGTTAAATTTCTAATATTTCAGGTTGCTCGGTTTAATCTGTCTGAGCAAATACCGGAGAAATCCTGCTTGTTTACCGGACAAATTCAAGTTGAGGATCATCAGCATGTATGTTTTTTGTTTGTTAATTAATTTATTTTATGATCATCTGATCACTAAATTGATTAATACATTGATTCAAGGGGAGGATAAGCATGTAGGTTTTTTGAATTGGATGATTATTTGATGGTCATTTGATCATCTGATTTATTTATACCTTGATTCAAGTGGAGGATCATAAACATGTAGGTTTTTTATTAATTTATCGATCATTTGATAATCATCTAATCATCCGATTGATTTATACTTTGATTCAAGTTGACGATAATCAGCATGTAGGTTTTTATTAATTTAGCGATCATTAGATGGCCATTTATTAATGTGATTTATTAAAACTGTATTAATCTTATTAATTAATTGATTTGAAGATTTTTGAAAATTTTATCCTAATAACTATTAGTTAATCAGACATTATTTTATTGTAGCACATAAAATCGCATTTAAAATCAATTAAAATTAAAACTTCTTAATCAATAATTTTCCACCTCTGTACTTTAACTAATAAACTAATGAATGATCTAGGATCTGAACGGACTGGCTGTGTGGTGTGAATGGACCCTTGTCCCTGGTATTACAACCTCATCAGGACCAACCAGGTTATTTACTTATTCATTCTTTCATCCTTTCATCCATGCATTTATCCTTTCATCCTTTCATTCACTCATTTCTCTATTCATTCATTAAAACTTAAAGGGTGTCTTCACAAGAATTAAATAATTGATGTTTATTGTTTATCGATCTTTGAATTTACCAAAATCATCCATTCCTTCGAGCAAAAAAAAATTGCTCGACATTATAGCGGACATGATAGAATATAAAGATTGGCAAGTCTTAAGGCAAAAAAACGAAGAGCCTAATACTGAAAAGGCCCAAAAATTTCAACATATATTTTAACTATTAAAAATAAAGTTAAAGTTAAAAATAAAGGCACAAATGCTAGAATTAAAGATGGTGTATGGATGAACCATAGCATGATTAATGATTATTTATTGAGCTGCTTTATTTTGCTTCTTATTTTGTTACATTTTTTTTTAATAAAAAAGTCTCTACAAAATAAAAAAGTAGGAAACAGTCCTGTAAAAATTAATGCTTGAAAAGAAATTATAGTCAACACGATTAAAAATATGATTATTAGTACATGTCTTATGTACCTCCTTATTATTATTCCTAACATACCGTTTTAAAAATGTATTATTCCAAGGGTAAAAACAGTCCCCCCCCCCTTCTCCTTCCCCGTTGAAAAAGGCAAAAGCGATTGATTCAAACTATTAAAGTTACCCTTCATGGTGAGATCAAACACATACTAAACTACATACTAAAATAATATACGAAATTGATTGATTGATTGATTGATTGATTGATTGATTTATTGATTGATTGGTTTATTGATTGATTGATTGATTGTTTGATTGATTACATTATTATTTTTTAGAACTCCTTGCATTGGTGAAAAAGTGCATTGGACGATGGACTCAAAACAGGGTGTTCATTTCTTCAAAACTCCAAACAGAACAACGTCGGCAATAGAATACGACATTTGTTTTAACCGCAGCGACGGAGATTTTGTCTTCAATTTTGTCATTTGATTGTATTTTTTCCAGTTAAAAATGCGGGAAATGTAAAAAAGTTTCTGACGATGACGATTTCCGAAGATGAATTTACGCGGCATTGTCTGCAGACAGCCGTTGGACAGGTACGGACTGGATATATATGTAATACGGGAAGAATTACCCGCCTGTGCCTGTGTCAGGTGCTAATCAGCTCTAATTTTTTCTTGATAGAAACTTGTCCTCATCGTCTAAATGGTTAATTTAAAGGAACAACTAACCAGGGAAGCCTTTGATGTTGGTTCCAGCAAGATGGGGGGGGGGGGTGCTGCGCGTATTTTGCTTTCTGTCTTCAAATACTGACACAAAATGGATGAACACTTAAGTTTTATTGGGACTAAACAAAAGATTATTGTACACAAAAACTATAATTACAATGTTTTAGGTCTGTCAGGCCATTGGATGGAATTCGATTCATCAGCAACCGCTGAATATTATGGTGATTGTTTTTTCCTTTTCGTCTCTATTTTTATGTGATTACATACACAGGGTGTCTCTGAATAAAGTGGGTTCAGGCTTTTCAGCCTACTAAATATAGTTTAAATGTGCTTAAAAGTTGATAGAATGTCCAAAATTTTAATTTTATTTTCACGTTTTGCACGACAGAATAGAATAAATTGCGTATTTTCAATGATAGAATTGAGGATTTCTAAAACTAAAAGGAGGAAAAAAGATTTCAAATTTATTTTAAAAATCTTTGGAAAAAGGACCAATTACAGTTCGTGTACATTTTGAAGGCTAAAACGGCATTTTTAGAGCAAAATTTTTCGAGGACTACCCCCCAATTTATCGTCATTCTACCTTCAAAGGCACACATTAAAGTAGAAAGAACGGCAATTAGTGGGTGAAAATGCAATTAATATCTTCGGAGATGGGACCGAGCACATTTTCGAATATTATGCCTAATTTTTATGGTTAAAACGGTATTTTAGAGAAAAGGGTTTCAATTAATTTTCCCCTACGAATCAGTTATNTGTTTAGGTTGATGTACTGTACTAAACTATATGTATGTTTAGGTTGATGTACTGTACTAAACTATATGTATGATTAGGTTGATGTACTGTACTAAACTATATGTATGTTTAGGTTGATGTACTGTACTAAACTATATGTATGTTAAGGTTGATGTACTGTACTAAACTATATGTATGTTTTGGTTGATGTACTGTACTAAACTATATGTATGTTTAGGTTGATGTACTGTACTAAACTATATGTATGTTTTGGTTGACTTACTGTACTAAACTATATGTATGTTCAGGTTGATGTACTGCATAAGTATATTGAGAAGATAGGTAGAAGTTGTAAAAACTATGCCGAACTATCTGGAAGAACTGGACCTAATGTTCTAGATGTTGGTAATATATTTATACATATAACTGATCAATAATCTGAAAAATATTGACGTTTTCCTAGGTTTGAAAGTTTTAATTCTTTTAATTCCTTTATGTTTTCCTGTCGCAGACATGCGCACGTCAGTATTGAAAAGAACCTCCAATTGAAAATAATCACTTTTATTATTGCAAACATTGATATAAGTTATCAAACCTGTTCAGACAACGCATTCATCGGGCATTGTCACCTCTGCATGGAGGGTCACTTGAAAATACGCTTACAGTCCCTTTAAACGCGTATTTTATATAATAAAGTTTCACAAGCTCTTCTTTTTGGCACTTTATTTGATTTTAATTGAGATGAGTAGTGCAAACAAAATTCATCTTACCTTTAACAATTATTTTCTTTTTTGTTCTGTTTAAAAGTATAATTTCAAATGGACCTCTATACAAAAATGGCAATGCCCGATTGACAAAAGTACACTTAAAAGCATTGTTAATGTTAATATTTTTTAAAACTGATTAATTTACTTACGTGACTTTCGCATTTCTACTGCGGGAAAGCATATATATTAATTAAAGGTAATGTTTATCAGATAAAGCTTATATTTTGATTCAAACCTTATTGTGTTCAGAGGCAACATTTGGCCAGATTGGTGTTGACCTAACAGACTTAGAAGAATACATTCAACATTTCGAGGTAAAATACCACTTCACAGACACTTTATTGATAATTTTGTGGTTAAGGAGAACTTCTTTTGGATACTATGGTCACCAAATATAAATACAAAATTCCAGTTTTATGTACATATCAATGAAATGTCAGGTACTAAAATTGTTTTATATTTCAGTAACTGACAGTGTATTGACTTGATATATTTGCTGACCACTGTATCTCATTCACTAAGTATCGGATTTTAAATTCCATGATTCCCCGAGCCCTGAAAAACCTGTATTTTAGATTTTACCAAATAAAGATGTTCCCGAGTATCCAGCTAAACCAGATGACCAGCTCAGCTTTCTTAAACCAGGTATTTTGCAAGCTGAACTCTGTATCTATCTATTCATCCATATATCTATATATATCTATATATCTATTTTTCCATTTATCTATCTTCATATCTATCCATCGATTTATCTGTATAACATATATTTATCTATCTTCCATTACTATCTTATTAAGTACGAGCTTGGGAACCCAGCTTTGTCTTGAAACAATGTTTTCTTTAAAGCCAAGCAAGAACATTCCCGTGGTTTTTATGAGTTACTCAGTCAAAATTTGAGGCAAATCGGTAAAGGGGTTCCTAAATTATGATTGGACATACAAACAAACTGACAGATATTACTGCTTTATATATATAGATTTATCGATATATCTATATATATCTTTGTCTACCTATCTATCTATCTAGGGAGCAGAGAAGTGCTTCAAAGACCAATCCATATTTATGATTATCTTCCACCTATGTTCCCTGAAATGGAGGTACGAAATACAGATTACTGATTACAGATTACAGAGTACAGAACATGAGAACACAAGAACACAAGAACACAAGAACACAAGAACACAAGAACACAAGAACACGAGAACACGAGAACACGAGAACATGAGAACACGAGAACACAATAATTTGTATTCTTGTATTCTTGTATTCTTGTATTCTTGTATTCTTGTAATCTTGTAATCTTGTAATCTTGTATTCCAGTGTTCTCATGTTCTTGTGTTCTCATGTTCTCGTGTTCTTGTGTTCTTGTGTTCTTGTATTCTTGTATTCTTGTGTTCTTGTATTCTTGTGTTCTTGTATTCTTGTGTTCTTGTATTCTTGTATTCTTGTATTCTTGTATTCTTGTAATCTTGTATTCCAGTGTTCTCATGTTCTCGTGTTCTCGTGTTCTCGTGAATACAAGAATACAAGAATACAAGAATACAAGAATACAAGAATACGAGAATACGAGAATACGAGAATATGAGAATATGAGAATACGAGAGTACGAGAGTACAAGAGTACAAGAGTACAAGAGTACAAGAGTACAAGAGTACAAGAGTACAAGAGTACAAGAGTACAAGAGTACAAGAGTACAAGAGTACAAGAGTACAAGTTTACAAGAGTACAAGAGTACGAGAGTACGAGAGTACGAGAATTTGAGAATTTGAGAATTTGAGAATTTGAGAATTTGAGAATTCGAGAATTCGAGAATTCGAGAATACGAGGATACGAGAATACAAGCATATGGAAAGAAACGAAGAAAACAGAATGCATAGTATAAGTTACAGAGTGCAGACCAGAGAGTACAAAACACACAACACAATTTATGGAATACAAAACGCAGTGGAAACAAAAGCCAGCAGAAAAACCTTACATGGCAACTTTTCCTTCCTTCTTGGACTTGAACCTCTAACCCTTACAAAGGATGCCATTTGTCATCCCTGCAAAGTATGATTTGATTTGATTTGTTTAAATTGTTTAAATAATTATGCAATTATTTTAGGAAGAAGCATCTTCTCCACAGCCTTCTACAGGAACATACCAACCTTATGAATTATAAAATCAAAATGTTTTTTAGTTAATTTTTAATTATTTATAGATAAAAATAGGTTCCAAGTTTATATAGTTCGCCTTTTTTGAGAAAAAGTTTAAGAGTTTAAACATATTTCCCATGTACCCATGTATCCTGCCCCTAGTGTACCCATGTATCCTGTCCCTAGTGTACCCGTGTATCCTGTCCGTAGTGTACCCGTGTATCCTGCCCCTAGTGTACCCATGTATCCTGCCCCTAGTGTACCCATGTATCCTGCCCCTAGTGTACCCATGTATCCTGCCCCTAGTGTACCCATGTATCCTGCCCCTGGTGTTTATCTAGAAGAATCTGAACCCGGTTGGTAGAGTCCCATGTGCTATATACAGCGCACAGACAGCATACAGAGGGAACCTTTTTGGACGAGATCCAGTTGAAGAAGATGAACCGGGTTCCTGTTATTGTGCGGAACCCCGCCTACATTGAGGAAGTAGAACTGGATGAAGAAGAAGTTGATCAAGCTGATATCATTCCTCTCATCAGTGGAGACACTCCTACTATCACTGTCCCAGCCTCAGAGGACGAGAACGTAGCTGAGGATGTATCAGAGGATGATGAGGAGGATGAAGATATGCAAGATATCCTGGAGAAGATGGAGAAGCTTGATACAGAGGTCAAGGAACTCCGAAAGGAGATTATGGATCTCCTATCCCCTACTCTTGAGGTCACTCGCTCCCGACAGCATACTGTTGTCCCCCAAGTTAAGGTTTGGGACACAGGGAAGGCTTGGGAGCAGGAGTACAGGCAGTATCCTGACCCAACTATAAAAGAGGTCAGGGATAGGCTGTCTAACCAGGTCTGGGATCTGCTCCAGATTATGCAGGAGCGGGTTGACCAGCATACCTGCAATAGTAAAGATATAAAGTTGATAGACGGACTGAATGCTATATCAGTCATGCATGATAGACTCGGTAACCTAACTGAGAAAGTGCTTAAACGTCAAGCTGAGAAACCTTAGGAATAGAAAGGGATCAAAGCTAATAATTGTACCAGTAAATATCTTTATGTATCTTTATATATGCATTTATAAATATGTAAATAAATGTAAATATGTTGTAAGAATGACTTTATTACTTTGGTGTTAATAATTGCACGTGCATACAATTATATAAGGCTTACTCTGTATGTTGGAGATAGCTGAAGTATAGTAATGCCAGGTTGCAAAGATATTGACGGCGCATGAGGGTTAGGCCCGAGTGATAGGAATAACCCGATCTGCAATGTCATCAGGTTGCACAGATGATAGATAAAACAAGTAAAATAACTTGAAGTAAAATCTCATCAAAGTGCCAATTTAAGTTTGCTAATTTATTGCATAAGTTTAGTAGTGCGAGAATACTACAATGTGTGGCTGCCCAGTGCAGGGATTTTGGAATTTCAGAGTTTTATACTGATTTTGTCATCCTTTGGAACACGCCAATATGACAAGTACATTTGCTGGTAGGCAAATGTCTTAATTATCCACTTATTCATCTAATAATTATACAGAAAAAAATATAATAGATTGAATTATACATTAACATTATACATATCATATCTTATTATTGCAATGAAGGGAAAATTTTTTTTTCTGCTATTATTATTGATCTTAGTCAAAAGCCTTTCGTAGTAATGACGTTGTAAATATCCAGACCCCTCCCCCATAATTTCACTCAGGAGGTAATGGACTGCACCCCCCCCCCCTGAAACCGCCTATGCTCATTAACCTTATCGCCTTAAAGTCGGCAAGTTTAAATGGTTGTTGCTATGTCAGCTGATGATGAGAACAAGAAGCATGATGTTCCATCCACCCCTGGCGGGGGATCCAGAAACCAGAAGAGGGACAGTACAGGAGGACAGGAGAATACCAAGGTAGCAGTACAATTGGGTTTATAGAGTACATCTATCAACAGAGTTTGAGAAGTTTTACTTACCAATTATAAAATTGGAAAACATTTATTTTTTTTGCGATTTTTTCAAAGTTATAGAAAATCAAAAAAAGATTCATCATTAAATTTTGACCTGCCATAAATCTTTCTTGGAGTTGACACAAAAAAGTAGACTATGAAAATATTTACAGGACTTTCAATTAAACATTTATTTGTATTACAAATTTGTTAAGACTGAAGACCTATTAATCAGATGGGGATAGCTGGTAGACATGTATATACTTCAGACAATGTTGTTAATTAAGTTTATTACTGTGGATGTACAATATTCGGAAAAAGTCGTCTTTATAACAATTAACATTCAAAATTATTATTATTATTAGCGAAAGGATTTTTTCCGCTTGTCAGCTGTAAAAGCTGAGAAAATCCTTCCCCCCTTTCACCAAAAAAGTTGTCACTTCAGCTTCCGCCAATTATCAGTGACGTCATATGAGGAAGTGGAGAGTCTATTGCTATAATGAAGTCATTTTCCGTACATTGGAGCGCATTCAGAGTATCTAATCTCAATAAACAACCTAGAGTTAAGATCTCCCAGGGGAGGGGGGAGGGGTTGAGTTTCTATATTTTGTTCCTTATAATTTCTCCTTAAAGGTTGGTGAGGATATGTGTCCTCTACGTGAGATCTCTAGTGTAATGATGACCAGCTCAGGGTTCCTTTCTCCTTGTAGAGAAGGAAAACTAGCAGACTCAAGAACACCACATCAGGTATTAGGTAGTAGGTAGTAGGTAGTAGGTACTAGGCAGTAGGAAGTAGGTAGTAGGATGCGGGAAATTCAAGAACACCACAGTTGGTAGTAGGCAGTAGGCAGTAGATAATAGGAGATTTAATTAATAGGTTCTCGATAATTAAACTGTTCATTAATTGATATGACCATTTAACTTTTAGACCATTTATTTGCATTAAAGACTATTACACTTTAAAGTGCAATAGATTATTAGACTATTAGACTATTAGACTATTAGACTATTAGACTATTAGACTATTAGACTATTAGACTATTAGACTATTAGACTATTAGACTATTAGACTATTGCCCCATTCGTCTATTCGACTATGAATATAAGGCCATAAATTAGGCTACGACTGTAAGAGATTATTTATTCGACTCTTCGACTATGACTATTTGACTATCATGCTATAGATTAGACTACAACTGTTATAGAATATTTATTCGACTATTTGACTTTTTGACTTTTCGGATATGACTTACAGGCTATAATTAGGCTGCGGCTGTTAGAGACTATTTATTCGACTATTCTACTGTTTGACTAATTTCACAAATAAGGCCATGACTGTTAGAGCCTATATTATGTGCTGATTGATTGATTAATTTATTGGCAAATATTTTGATTAAGTGATTGTTTAATAAAGAGACAAATTTATTAATTGATTCATTCATTGATTGAGAGGCCATTTGATTGATTAATAGATGGATAGATTGATTGATTGATTGTCCAGGTGCCTGAACCCGAGGAGCGTAAGTCCGCTAAGCGAGCTCTGGACGGTAAAGAGGAGAAGATGAGCTCTATGGGATCAGGTTAGGAAATATATATTTTAAGGGACTGATGATGTTATTTTATAGATATTAGAGGCTACCGTTTACGCCTTCATCTGATTAATAAAATGGAAGATTTCGTCGTTTTTCTTACTGGGAAAGTGTTTAATTCTGAAAATGCGCAATTTTCTTTCGGAGAGAAATAACAAATGAAAATAATCATTTTTTTGCAGATCTCATTCTCATATATTATCGTAAAACATGAAGATCTAATTCATACCCTATCAGACCACGCTTTTTTAGGATACCATTTTGTTAATGCTAATGGCATGTTATTTTTTTCCGTCCAGGAAATTATATTCATTCTTTCCAGGAAATATTATTTTTTCAGACTATGAAAATAAATTATTTCCACCCAGGAAATTTAAATAATTATGCCCACAAATTCATGTGTGTTGTTTATGTTGTCCTGGAAATATGTTTATTTTGTCTAGGAAATATTACAGAATCTGTCCAGGAAAAATATTTATTTTGTCCAGGAAATATTACAGAATCTGTGCAGGAAATATATTTATTTTGTCCAGGAAATATTATGGAATCTGTCCAGGAAATATATTTATTTTGTCCAGGAAATATTATGGAATCTGTCCAGGAAATATATTTATTTTGTCCAGGAAATATTATGGAATCTGTCCAGATTAAACAGGAAGTTGAAGACTTTGAAGACAGTATCGAGGTTCATCAGTTAAAGGTCAATTTTGATTTTCTAGATTGTTTTCTCATTCTATTTTTCCTTTTTGTCAAAGTTCCAGCTTTTAATTATAACAAACATATTTTTTGCTGAAAAACCGTCATGAAATCTGATTTATATAAGGGAACCCAATAATATTTAAGATGTAACAAAGAAATTTGTTAATAATAAAAGCAATTATATTTAAGAATAACAAATCAATCTGTTAATGATAAAAGCAATAATAATATATTATGCGTAGGAAGAAAGTGTAATAATCAAAATTATTGTTATAATATTGAAAGAAAAACCGTATCCTCCAAGAATGTGGTATAATATTATTATGCGTAGGAAGAAAGTGTAATAATCAATATTATAACAATAATTTTGATTATTACACTTTCTTCCTACGCATAATATATTAAGATGAAACAAAGCAATCTGTTAATGATAAAAGCAATAATATTTAAGATGAAACAAAGCAATCTGTTAATAATAAAAACAGTGATATTAAGAATAACAAAGCAATCTGTTGATAATAAAAGCAATAATAATTAAGATGAAACAAAGCAATCTGTTAATGTTAAAAGAAATAATATTTAAGAATAACAAAGCAATCTGTTAATAATAAAAGCAATAATATTTAAGATGAAACAAAGCAATCTGTTAATGATGATAAAAGAAATAATATTTAAGAATAACAAAGCAATCTGTTGATGATAAAAGAAATAATATTTAAGAATAACAAAGCAATCTGTTAATGTTAAAAGAATTAATATTTAAGATGAAACAAAGCAATCTGTTGACAATAAAAGCAATACTATTTAAGATGAAATAAAGCAATCTGTTAATAATAAAAGCAATTATATTTAAGAATAACAAAGCAATCTGTTAATAATTAAAGTAATAACATTTAAGATGAAACAAATCAGTCTGTTAATAATAAAAGCAATAATATTTAGGATGAAACAAAGCAACAGCGGTGTTCCCCGGGACAATTGGATGAAATAATACAAACGGTGGTGGACAGGGGACTCAGGTAAGCTGTTTCTAAATTAGGAAACCAGAGGTTAAAACTTTTATATTTTAAATTTATTAATTTGCTCAGAACACGCTCAGTCGGTTCCCCTTCTCTCTTGCTGATTAAGTTAGGCTATTTTACACGCTTTACCAACCAAAAGTTTTTACCTCGAGAGTTAAACAAAATATTGTTATGTTTTTATTGCCATTTTAAGTGAACCTGCACTCTAAATCTGTCTTAAAAAAATTATTTCTACCCTTCCCCCCC